ACTGTACCATGTTCAGCGCCTTGGGCTTCCTGACAGGGTTGCGGAAGGCGCTTTATATAAAGCTTTGATTGATTGATTGATTGATTGATTGATTGATTGATTGATTGATTGATTGATTGATTGATCTGGAGGCTTTAAGACCAGAAGATTTGTGCAATTTCATTCTTTTGTGGTTTTATCTGTTGTGATCTTGTTTTAATGGGCTTTTGTCTGTTTGGGCTGGACTGTACAGCACTTTGGGCCACCTGAGTGGTCAAAAGGTGCTCTAAAAATGAATAAATAAAGGATGATGACGAGACGTTTGATGTGAACTTGTTACAATAATCTACAAGGAGTAAAAGTGTTAAAAAAAACTAAGTATAAAGAATGTTTGGCAAGTAAATCTGCATCGGTTTTGGGAAGATGATGCAAATGTCTAACTTTATTTTATTTTTCTGTGTTATGAAGTGACTTGTATGACTTTACTTAGTTCTTTTGTGTCGTCCTGACCGCCGTCCTCTGCAGGTGAGATGCTGACAGCTCATAATTACTCCACTCATCCCTCTGACAGCAGAGTTAGGAGTAACTTCTGAATGCACCGTCAGACTCCACACATTTACAGGAAAAACTCCATCCTGCTGCAGACGTTGACCTGAATTAACGCCTGACTGGCTTAGACAGACTCCAGCGGCTCTTTAATCCTGAGGATATCCACGTGTGCATCGGACAACTCGAGCACATTTGGGCATTTACCTTTGATTGAGTGGCACAGAGGAAGCTGTAAATGATGTCATTTTCCCCAGGTGGCCATGACAGCATGGGCAAAGTGGCGTTCAAAGGTTGGGAGATAGCTGGTGTGTGTGCAGCTACATCGTTAGATTCCAGCTGGAGGAAGTTTGGAGTCTGATGTCCTCTTGTTTGGATCCGACATGAGAAAACACAGAGGAGGAAAACCAGGCCTCTCGTTTCTTAATTATTCAAATCAAACAATTATGTGAGGTTGTCCTGGGAAAAGCTCCTTTATGCGCTCATCCAGAACAACAGCAGCATCCAGGGTGGGGTCGGGAGGAAGTCGGATCACATGGAGAACACCAGCCGATGCAGGAAAACAGAGTCGTTCTTCTGTTGCTTTGAATTATTTAAACGACTATATTTTAGGCTGCACAGGTGCTCCACAGCTCGCTGCTCCAACCAAAAACCACACGAAGTCCCTGGTTTGCTCATCTCAACCACATTCACATAAAAAAGACGCAGTTTGGGAACTGAAATTAAGAGAGTTTATTGTTTGGATTGTTGATTATAAAGAAAAACAACAAAAACAAGAATATATTCCCATAATCTGAATGTGTAAAAATGGTTTTCCCACATCCTTTTAATCGCTGCATGTTTGCATTCCATCGGTTTGTTTCAGGAAAACTTGATCCACTGCTCACATTGATTACACGGTCAATTATATATAATTTATAGGCCTCAACTGGAGAGCCGCTCCAGCATTAAACTTTGATGAAGCCATGTAGTACATTCTTTGTTATAGACCAACATGCCAGCCAGCCACAGTCTGGTGGTGGTGGGGGTGGTGGGGGTGGGGGTGGGTCGCTAAAACATCTACAAATGCAGAAATTCTGAGTTTGGTTTCAGAAAAATGAAATAATCTGAATTAAATGTAAAAACATGGTGACTCCTTTATACCCCAAACACAAAGGAAGTAGATGCTTCCTTTTCAAAACAGAGTCGTCTTTTATTGTCGTCAGTCTGGAGGCACAAGAGGATTGAGACATCGTTGTAAAAACCTCAAACTCACCAAACAAGCAACAGGAAAATCTTTATTTATTCTGCAACCCTTTTGTTTTTTTTATATTTTTTTATTTGATAGATTTGTTATTATTTTTGTTTAGTTTTCTTTCTCAAAAGTAAATCCGTTGCTGAAAATAGTCATAAAGTAAAAAGGCATTTGTTTATTTATTGTTTATTTTTTTTAATTTACTATATACGTTTTAAATACATATATATATACATTTTATATTTAGTATTTTTTATTCTCATGCATATTAATGAACGGGTTTTCAGTAAAATAATAGAACATTTGGTGGTGGAAACCTTTTACTCTTTTAAAAATAATTTTAAAAAATTCAAAGACCTCTTCATTAAAGATCAGATTTATTTATTTTTTTTTGCTTTTTAAACGATGAAACCGTTTCATGACCTCCTAAAAGCTAATGTAAGTTTTAATTTTATTTATTTATATTTTAATGAATGATTACTTAGTTTGTATTTTTAGACTGGCGACACCTCGGGTCCCAGGGGCCTTATTTAGGTTATATATATATATATGTGTGTGTGTGTGTGTGTGTGTGTGTGTGTGTGTGTGTGTATGTATGTTGTTGTTTTTTCCAGAGTTTCTGTAACTTTTGCAGACTCGTTTTCCATTGAACTCTGAATTCAATGCTTTATTTATATTTAAATAAATCATGTTTTAAATTAACCCAGATCCAATCTACCACCTAATTCAGACCGTTATTTTAATGGTTTTGTTGTTCTTTTATTTGTTCTGGATGATCTTTGTGGTTTCAGAGAATATTTCAGCTGTGCATTAAAAAAATCAAGATTTTTTTGCAACTTGTCAGGAATAAATTTACAGATAAAACAACAAAACGTTTATTCAGAACCCACAAAGTTCATTTTTATCCAACTCTGATGCTTAAACAGAACTCGACATCCCTCGTGTCTAAATTATAAAATAAAATGTTTTGGGAATGAAAAAATACAAATTTATGAAATATATTAAATCTCAATAAGTTGCACTTTTACTCTTTTATTTAACAAGACGCACCAAATGTGTGGTGATGAGTCATAAAAACGCATAAATGAACTGATGAGGTTTTCAGCTTTTATCATTTATTATAGAATGAAAGTAAAACATTAAAACATAGTTTTTCATTATAACAGCAAATAAAACCAATGCTGTTTTTAATGATCTACCTTTTCTCTTGTTATTTTAAAATTTATTGTACTATTTTCTCTCATCGGGAGCAGGTTTTCATCTTTTTTTGTGTGTTTTCCAACTCAAAGAAGCATCTTTTCTTTCCTAACATCTCTAACCCAGAACACCGGACCGAGTGTGATAGAGCCACGGAATCTCCACAGGCAGCAACAATGATCAATGTTAGAGTCACTCAAGCATCAGATCCCATTCATCAGCACAGGGAAGCAGCTTTTAGATGCACCTCCTTCACCTCCAGGCTTCTCCTGTTTCAGGAGAGCAGCTGCTTTGGTCTGAGCTCGGACACACAGAACCGGACCCAAGAACACTCAGACGGACCGCTGATCTGGGCTCAAGTGTCACCGCTGCCCTTTCAAACTGTTTCTTATTATTCTTATTTAAACCTAAAACCACATCATGTTTTTTCTGTCAGCACGTGGCCAAATCAGGACTGAGTCAAACTCAGCAGGACTAACTAGGGTGATTGGTTTGCAGACTAGGCCAGAACTGGGTTAGAACTGAAAACCACCAAAAAGAAATGGGTTCAGAATCATCATAAATATATTTTATTTTAAATATTTTGAATGTCTCTGAACGTGTGAGTGAATTAGTCAAATGTATTGAAACTGACCCATGACCCAACTTCAGTGTGAAAATGCTTGGCCCATGACCTGGTACCAGGGCTGAAGGTGGGAAAATAACCCATCAGTTTTTAGAGTGTATAGATTTTAGTTCCTTTTTTTCATTTAAACACTGAAATTAAATATTTTTTAATGTAAAATTTAATTCTAAAAATGTGGAGATAATTTATCATTTAAATCACATCATTATAGCCCATCGACCCAAAAGGATGACACAATGATCTAATGTGGGTTACAAACCAAAGAAAGGCCTTTCAGAAGTAAAACGTGCAGGGTTTATTTCAGCTGCTGCCTCTTTACACAGACACATTTAAAGCACACTTTCACAAATGAAACGTCTCATATTTTCCTTCTTCTCGGAAATAAATTAAATTAAAATAAATAACAAAAATCAAATAAATTTTCTTCTCAGAAGTGTTGAAAAATCTACAAATAAGGCCGACTAGCTTCCGCCATGAGAATATCTACAAAGTGCGCTCAACTAAAGGCGTCAGTGATCAGAACCATCAGAACCAACACTGAGTCCAAATCAGAGGAAACCAGCAGGGACGAATTTCTGATTGTCGAAGCAAACAGGTTTTACACATCAGTGAGTTTTCTAATTCACCCAGTGGAACAAAAATAAATAAATAAATAAATAGATAAATAAATAAATACTAACAGAAACCAACCGGAAGCGGAACCCTCGAGTGGTTTGAAATCACTGTGAACACTTTGCGTAATGAGGTAGACGCACAGCTACGCCGCGTGAACGTGGATCAGTGTTTCCTTTTATTGCAATGCATTCACTTTGGGGTGTGTGTGTGAGTGAGTGAGTGCGTGTTGGTGGGTGCATGTGTGTGAGTGTGTGAGGAAGGGGTGTGTGTAGATATTTTTGGAGCCACAGTAAACACCACCTTCCCCCCTAACGCCATGCAGTGGGTTACAGACACGGTGTCTCAGAAATGAGACCAAAACACTTTTTTACTAATTTTTTCCTCCAAACTTCTGAAACTCAAAGAAGAAAAACACGTGGGAGGAAAAAACAGCAACGATTCGATGAGCTTTTCAACACACGGAAGTGCATATTCACAAATATGTACACTGATAAATATAAAAAAGGCTATTTCAGCCAAAGAGGGTCTTCCTCGATCGCCGACGTCAATATTTTCCTTTTTTGTACAATAATTGCCACATGAAGAACGGAGCCTCCTGCTCCGACAGGTTTTAGTGTCACGTTTTCAGACATGAGTCACTTTTTGTCTCCACTTTGCTCCAACTGTCAGAATAAAAGAAGGTACGCCTCTGAGCGTCAGAAGAACCGGATCCAGTCTCTGGAGTTCTGCTGAATCTGCAGAAACTGCGTCTCTCTCTCTCTGTGTGTGTGTGTGTGTGTGTGTGTGTGGGGGGGGGGGGGGGGGGGGCATCTTAATCAGCCTTTTTTTAACCACAGACTTCTAATTAAAGTCATTGTATGTGAAGGATAAAATAAAACACGTGTCCCGTTTAACACTGAGTGAGGAACCAGGTTTGGGTGTTTGTGAGTGCGCGCGGCCTGGCTGTGCGTCAGACCCGTCCGTTTGGATCTGGCGCTGCCGGGTACCTTGATTCTTTCCTGACAGTTTGTCTCTCATAGCAGCTCGTCTCTGATTTGTCCTTTGTGGAAACCGGGACAGAGACCCACGGGTTTGCTGCAGCAACCTCGTGTTTGTTTGATTTGATTTTAGTGCGTCGCAGAAAACTTCATCCGTTTCTGTTTTTGCCGCTGGTTGCAGAACCAAACTCGGACCACGTTCTTTTTCAGGTCCAGCTTCTCCGCGATGGCTGCGATCTTCTCCGACGAGGGCCGCGGCTGCACGGCGAAGTAAGCCTCCAGGGAGCGCTTCTCCGGGGCGGCGATGGAAGTGCGTTTCCGCTTTTTGTCCCCGCCGTTGAAGATCTCCGGCTTGGACATCTTTTCCCTCTGCGCGCGCTCCGCCTCTTCCAGCCAGGCCTCCAGGATGGGCTTTAAGGCCACCATGTTGTTGTGAGACAGCGTGAGGGACTCGAACCTGCAGATGGTGCTCTGGCTCAGACACCCCACCCCGGGGATCTTGAGGTTGGCCAGGGCCGCTCCGACATCAGCCTGGGTCACACCAAGCTTGATCCGTCTTTGTTTGAACCTTTCAGCGAAGGACTCCAGCTCCCGCGGGTCCGGCTCCGCATCGCCTCCGGCGCTCCCCAGAGACCCATGTGAGCCCAGCCCGTGCGGGTGCATGTTCATGGACTGCGGGTGGTGGTGGTGCTGCATGTGGTTGATGGCCGACATGTGGGCGTGAGCCGTGTGCGACGCCGTGGAGCAGACGTCGGAGCCGGGCATGCCTCCCAGGGAAATCCCCGGCGTGAGGTGGTCCAGGAGGTCCCCGTCCAGGCCCTGGGCCGGCTGGTGGTGCGCAGGGTGGTGGTGGGAGGTGAGTACCGACGGGTGGTGCAGGTGCGCGGAAGAAGAGGTCGGGGTGCAGGTCATGCTGGTCATCGTGGTCATGGTGTGGTAGGTCGCGTCCGGCTTGAACGGGTGACTCTTTTGGGCCACAATGTCCACAGCGGCAAGAGCTTCGGCCCTCTGCAGCAGAGTCTCATCAAAACCCGCGAAGATGTTCCCCTGAAGCTGCGAGAGGAGAGACACATTCGTTAGAGGCTGGAAAATCCACCCAACTCCGCGATGAAAGCACAAATAAACAGCTGAAGTGCGCTTTTACGCAAATACGCCCATTACGCACAAATTGTTGCAACGTTAATATGAAGATATCGGAAATATTCGAAAGTTTAAACCTAAACAAAACAAAAATAATATCCATCAAATGTTTTTTTATTAAAGTGGAATTTAAATTTCAGATTTAATCACCAATGCCAATGTATCCAACAAAGTACACAGACATGCGAACTTTAACATCCGATTATTGTTAATTCACTTAAATCAGATTAAAAAATATTCAACAGAGCTGAAGGAAACTTGAAGTTGACGCTTTGATCGAATCCGAGCCGAACTCTCGCGGTTCTGCTGAAAGTGTGTCAGCGTGGAGCGATATTCATCTAAAATTAATATTTACGATCTCCTGAATTATTTCTGCGGACAATGAAATGAGACGAGTTTGAATATGAATGGGACAATATGAGATAACTCTCGCCCGGAGAGTCCGCGGAAACGCAGCTTCTCCTCCACCCGCAGCAGCATCCCTCCCTCACAGGGAGGATAGGACTCCAGCTGACAGACGCGTCAGGTTTACGCTCAATAACAGTCGCTGTTATTACACATTTTAGTAACTTTTAAAAGTAATTTACACACTAATCATCTTAGATTTCTGCAATTTTACGGAAAATATTTTAAATTGATTGGATTGTACTTCTTGATGAAATAAAACATGATTTTGTAGTTTAAAAATCGTTTTTTTAATAATCTCAACTGAATTAGATGTTATTTTACCATTTATTGGTCTCAGGCGATTCTCCTAAGCATTTGTTAATAATTACAGATCGAATTATTTATAAACTCTTCATGAACTATTTTTGTATAGCTACCAGTCAGTTGTAGTGGTTCAGATCTAAATTCCCACATTTCTTCTGGGTGGTTTCCCTCGTGTTTTGTGGGAAGTTGTGGGAAGTGGGCTTGGACTCACCGACGGGGTGGGCAGGCAGGCCCTGCGGATGGCCTCCGAGCTGGAGTGCAGAGGCGTGTATTTGGGCTCGTGCAGGATGGGGTGCATACTGAAAGGCTGCTTGCTGTTCATCGACATCATGATTGCAGACGTGAGGGAGGGTCTCTGTCCGTACTCTTCGTTCGGGTCCGTTTTGCTGGTTTTTCTCCAGGAGCAAAACAAAACGACTCGGACCTGCTCAGCGCAGACGGTTCGGACAAAAAAAGTCTCTCGATCGGAGTCTGGCAAGTTGGCTGTTGATCAGGAGTAAAAAAAAAAGAAGAAGAGGAGGAGTAATTCCAGGACTACTGCGGACCTCCTGCCTCCTTTCGGCCTCCTAATGACTCCTATAATGAAGACGCTGCTCGCCTCCGGCAGCTATATTGGACCACCGCCGCGCAAACGGCTCCCAATTGGAGCGCGTCTGCCCCCCCGGCTGGAGACCTCAGCCAATCAGGTGGAGGTATCAGGCTGGGGCTACGCCTCCTGCGTTCTCCTCAAAGCGTGGAGGATTCTGGACAATTAGGAATGAGGAAGGATGCTTTGAGAAAGCTATTGGAGAAATGATTTTAACTAAACTAAAAGCAACAAATAAAATTGTTTACCAGAATAAAACTAGCGTTAGATGATGCTATTAAAACATAATTTCCATAAACATATCTGAGTAGGTAATTAGTGAGTAATTGGAGCATTTCTGCAAGCCGCAAAGTAAATAATAAAAAAAGCGATAAATGTACAATGAAGGGCTTTTATTCTGGAGGGATGGAGATGAAGCTGCAGATCTTCCCTTTAAATCTGAACTAAATGCATTTTCTGAACCATTTAACAAAGTAAACTGGAATTAAATAATGGTGCTTCATTTACTGAAGAACCCCCCACCCCACCCCGCCCCCAACACACACACACATGCAACAGAACAAACAGGAACTAAAGCAGCAGATGATGAAATATTTACACATGAACTCAGAGATCAGTCTGGCACGAGCTGTCAATCAAACCTGTGGGATTTCCGGGTCCGAGTGGCGCAAAAGACAGAATAATTGTCACGATAATCACCCCAAAAGTGTGTGTGTGTGTGTGTGTGTGTGTGTGTGTGTGTGTGTGTGTGTGTGTGTGTGTGTGTGTGTGTGAGACGGGGGTGTCCTGTGTTATTTCACAAATTTTATTATTTCATAGAAATTATATATATATATATATATATATATATATATATATATATATATATATATATATATATATATATATATATATATAGCTTCAGGTCTGAAGATTTCCACTAAGTGATTTTGAGCTTTTCTAATTAATAAAGATCATTAATATTTAACTTGTTATTTATTTATTTACCCTGCAGCTGGTGGTTCAGGCTACATTTAGGAATTCTCTGAGCATGAACTTAAACAGTCCATTGTTTTCAACCAAAGTCATAGTTTAGAAAACCAACATCCTGAGACAAATATGTCAAAATATAAGAGAAGAAGCGAAGGACGCAAAATGACCTCAGATTAAACCAGTAAAGCTCCGTATGCCTGAATCACTTTAGAGCAGCCAGAAAGAAAGACCATCCAGCCCTCATCCAGCTGCTTAACGTGTCAATCCTTTCTCATGAGGAGGATGATCCAAATGTCCTTTGTTAATCTGGATTGAGGATGTGGACATCTCCTTAAAGGCTTCCCCACAGTTCAGGTCTCTTCATTCAGTCTGTGTTTTATAGGGAACTGAAGCATCTATTCAGCTTTTATTTCATCATTTTAGTTTGGAAACTGTTGAAGATCATTTTTGTGAACCTGAACCCTGAGCCTCGTGTTGGACCCATAAGCAGTAAACACGTGGATTTGTGAGGAAAACAAAACATGAAGCAGAAGGATAAATGAAATCTGATTCCTTAAACTACAGTGATCTTGAATTAACCAGGTAGGTTGAGGAAACCTGGATTATTAATAAAACCATGAAGCTTATTTCTCAGACTTTATTCCTCTTGAACGTGTTCAGTTAGCTGAAACTCGACCCGTGCTGCTCCTGCTGTAACTCTGCCTCTGCTGGTGCTCCTCCTGCTTTGACTCACCGGCCTCCTGCACAAAAAGAGCAGCCGTGTTGGTGACGGAGGCAGGAAACCTGAGTGAGGCCCATTGTCCGGCTGTAGCTGCTGCCCGGCAGAGGGTCCCTGGCACCCGTTCATCTAACATACATCACCTCCTCCTCCACCTCTGCTGGGATGTCTGCAGCCAGGCGCTCCGCTGGGAAAGCTGCACCACATGGACCGAGTGCAGGAAACGAAACCGGGCTAGGAGGAAGAGAACTGTGAAAGGATCAAATAAGAGTTGAAACTGTGGAAAAAAAGAAGATCAAAGGTTAAACTCTGCAAGAAAAACGTTGAAATGAAACCTAGCTGATGAATTTAGGGATGATTCACTCTGTCATTTTATAGAAAAAACTGTGTTCAGATTTGTTTTGCAATAAAAACTCTGATAGTGGAATAAAAGCTTTTTTAGGAGACCATGTGGCAGCCTGGGAACCCCAGGCGACGCAGCACCTCTGGTAGAAGTCGGTCCTTTCATTAAATTAAACTTTGATGAACATGTTGGAGATAAATGTTTCTAAACCAGTTGAGTCATTGTGTTTTAAGAAAAGTCGACTTTTAACTGCAACATTAAACCCCGCAGTTCATCTTTTATGAATATTTTACATCTAAACCAAACGTAAACGACTTCAACCGTGTTTTTTCAGCTCTGTTGTTAAGAGCAAAGCAGAAACAATAAACAACAAGAAACATTAAACGTTTTCCAATTTTCCCTAATGATGTGTGGTCAAACTAAAATAAAAACCAGCGCGTGTCTAAAAACAAACATTATTTATTATGAAATATTATGATACGGGAAGTGTGATGACATCAAAACGTAAATAAACAACAGAAACGATTCTACAAGTGTACGCAACAGCTACTAAATATAACACTTAATCATAATGATAATCCAACAAAAACTGACTTAAAAATAAAGGAAATGATCAAAAATAGGAATCCACATCCCCGCAAACATTTATAAAATGATTCAACATGAAGCTGGAAAGCAAAAATAAAACAAAACACCCCCTAGTGGCTAGTTTTAGAAATGTGTATAAGCCCCGCCCTCTCGCCATGTAAAAAATGAGACTTTATCTTGATGAAAAAAAACATGGATGTTTGTTCCACGTGTTTTCTCCTGTCGGTACCTGGCCTCACCTCTGTATGCTATTTGAAACATTTTACCATATCGATGATTAAAGGAGTAGTTTACTCATTCAATCAATGCATTTACAGTGGCCTCTAAGGCTTGGTTTATGCTTGACGCATTCACTTTCCGCTTGGTGATGCAGCTCGCGGATGGAACGCGCTTCACAACTCGCAGCGTTTATGGTTCATGCGGCTCGTCTCTGCGGTGAGCCAATATTCTCCCAAACTGTAGGGGGCAGCATGGAGCTCTACGGCATGCATCCAACACTACACCATAGTAGAAGTAGAAATTACTGTTTACAACATGGTATTTCAGCATTTTAAACAGCGTCCTCGTCTTTTCCGACAGTGCGAGCTATTTCTCTCCAAGAATTATTAACATGTTGATCACGGTGATCTCTGAGAGCTGAATCATACAAATGTCTGTATTTACGAACCTCTGCCATACTAGTTCTTGCCGGTCCGCCATGTTTTTCCGCGTCCGTCCGTCCGTCCGCGTGGTTAGAAATTTTCCGAGGTGCGCGTTGCGGAAATCTTGGGCCATGCAGAGACGCGGTGGAGGGGCATGGTTGTTAAAATGACACAACTTTTCCGCGCAGAGCCGTGCGGACCTCGCAGACGCGTCAAGCATAAACCAACCTTAAGGGAGTGAGTGCCCTGTAAGTTGTTCTGCAGGGGGAAATAAAGCACTGGTGCACCTGTTTCAGGAACTAGAACATTACAACATCAAAGCAGAGCTTCAGACGACAATCTTAGATCTCTCTTCTGATTGGCTGACAGCAAAACGACTACCACTGACTTTGCTCTTTAACAGTGATGTTTTATCTCCACCAATAACACAAGCTTGGAGGAGTTCTGCTGTGTGGTAGAGTCGCTAATGCTAATGGCTATTTTCCACTAGCCAAGACATTCTCTGCTGTTTTCTGGACGCTAAACCAACAACAGCCGTCCCCTTCTCGAGTCAAAATCCTAGAGTTTCACGTTCTATTTTCTACCAGAAGCTAGTGCAGGAGGTAGATGTAGGAGACTATTTTCATGTTCAGCCTGCATGGAAAACTTTAAGTGATTATAATCAGATAAAAATTATATAAAAAATGTTTTTTCAGTGTTCCACACCAAGATTGTGTGCAGGGGGGGCGGGGCTTTGAGCCTGTTCCAGAGGGCGCTCATTTTTGTACGAAAAATCAAAACCAAAATATTGCAAAAATGGGACATTTTCAACCCTTGATACTTCCTTAAGACTTTGCTGTAAAACTATCAACAATAACGTAATAATGCAAAAGTCATGGAGTCACCAATGAAGCTAAACGAGCCATAAATGTGGCACAGGTTTTGTTTTTTTGTCAAATAAAGTTTAAATTCAGCCTCACAAAAGCATCGTCCATGAGTGTGTGCTTTTGTATTTAGAAGGGGGTAACACAGCTTCCACGTGCACGTTTGATCGCCCTAGCATGTGTCTTGTATGTGCAGCTATGCATGGGTGGCTTGGCATGTTCTGGGTGCAGGGTGGACTCTGAGGGATCAAACGGCCACGGAAGCTTCCAGAGTGCTGAACATGGCCGCCACGCCATGTGTTTCTGCCACATTTAGCAAATGGACACTGAAATGTCTCCTTGTGCCAGCATCCACCAGAGCCTCCTCACCTCCCTCCCACCTCCTGCCTTCACCTCCTCCTCTCCTTCCCTTCTTCTCTGCACGCTCTCGTCCTCCTTTTCTTCCTCCCTCCACTTCCTCCAGCTCTGAATTATTGATAGTGAGTAAAATTTGACGTTGTAAAGTTGGCGACCATTCACCAAATCGGCCCCACCGAGGGGGCTCGCCGAAGGGTAGGCGGTGTCTAACCACACACTTTTAATGTAATTGCCTGTAGGGTTCCTGGTAAATATTTAATTGTCTGCCAGTACAAATTAAAGACACGAGGCTGGAAGAAAAAGGTTAGCAGGTTCGCTTGGGGAGAAATTCTCTGCACTTTACCTGCAACTGTAGCTCCTCCAGCTGAGTGATGCATGATGGTCCTTCTGCTTCGTTTGGCTTCGTGTGATGAGAAAATACGTGTCAAAGTCCTGCAACCACCTCAGGACCTTCATGCAGTGCTGAGAGGTGGTGCACCTTGGCTAACTGGGGCTCATGGTCAGTTATAAACTTTTTTAAAA